GGAAGAATGGGCCAAAATCACACCTGAGCAATGCATGCCGCTAGTTTCTCCATTCAGGAGGCGTCTTGAAGCTGTCATTGACAACAAAGGCTTTTGTACAAAGTATTAGATAAATTCCAGTAAGTGTGTTCAATACTTGTTCCCTTTGCCATTCCACATTATTACAAATAACTTCATTTCTGGACATTTATGGTTTGGTTTCTTTGTATCTACAGTATGAATAACTTGGGTTGTTGCCGACAACTGGTGAAAATTTTATGTCATTAGCACCTCTAATAATATTTTTACTGAGAAAAATGTTGACGTATTTAATACTTATTTTACCCGCTGTATAGTATTATTATTATTCATTTATAAGCAGGTTTTGCAATAAAGAAATAAAAACCTAGTAATTCTTCAGAGAACCCAACTCTCCAATCACATCCTTGCTCAGAGTTTTAGAATAATATCATGTCATGTGGAAAAATGTCACAGTTGTTTTGATCAAACCTAAAAATAAATATTATGTGCAGTGACAGGCAACATTATTACATATCACTCTGAGTATGGGTTGGGAATGTCTCAACAATATTCATCCCAATGTCTGTAAAATGATTTGAATAATTGTCGTTGTTGTTTTCTAATGTCAGTCACCTTTGGCACCCATCCTGAATTACTGTATGTTGGCTTCAAAAGTTATTCAGATGTAGAGATATAGTCAATTATTTTTTAAAAAGTTTCACTAAAATTCATCCATTTGTGACATGTTTAACAACAGAGTAGACACCAAATAGTTAATGGCAAAACTTAAAAACAATGATCTGTTATGACTTGGATTATGTCTTCATCAGTTTAAGCTACTACCACACCAAACTTTAGGTTAACATTAGCAGAGCTGTATAAAGTGCTTGGAAAAAAGTAAAAGTAAAAATATCTTAACAGGAAATGACTTAGGTAAAAACAAATTTCACCAATGAGAAAAGTACTTAAGTAAAAGTCATACAACTGCTCACAATAATCAATAAATAAAAAAGTATTTTCCACACACTCTAAAACATAAAGTGTTGAATTATCTTAACCAAGTTATGTCAACTTGTCTTACTAAATCAGGTTGAGTAAAATGAGCAATTTACACATATTTTAAAGAAAATGTGTAAATTGTTTTACATTTACTCAACTTGTTTTAGTGGAACCAGTTGACATAACTCAGTTAAGTAAATTTAAAACCATATTTTAGAGTGCATAAACAACTCCTGTCATGATGAGCTCTGGTCATATTAAAATTTGTATGAGTGTAACGAGGTGTTAATTTAAAGTAAAAGTATATGTTTTAATCTTTTTAATGTTACTGTAAGAGTGAGCTTAAGGTGAATTAAGCTTTTCCCACATCTCTCATACACAAGGTTATGAGGAAACTTTYAYCAAGGTATTTCTCATTACTTGTTAATATCTTGACTGTGCRAAGTGAAAAGTGACACAATAAGTGAATGTTCACACGAGTTCAAGTTGATTCATAAAAGACTATGCAATCATTTATTTACACAAATTGAACAGATCATAAGTTACACTTGATTGTGGTCATTCCAATTACATGCGTCAGAGTTAAATGAGATAAAACCTGCGTCCGAATTTCAATTCACATCAACTCAGATTACTTATGTAGAACAGTAAAAACGCCAGTTCTGATGTTAACAACCATACAAATTTACTGGCACTTTTAGCTTAAGTTTTGGGAAATTAAGAACAAGGAATGGAGGAAAGTAAGATTAGTATGTTACTACGACTTTTACTTTTATCAAAGTGTAGGTCAACCGGAACTGCACGTCTTTTCTAAGCTCAGGTTCCACATGACACATCACTCCGAACACATCAGCTTTTACCTGATGATGTCTTCTTAAGGCACCCTTGGGGTAGGAGCTGGCTCGTCTCCGATCAGTCAGGGAACTGATGTCGGCTCGCTTACCGGTCATTGGCGAACAGGTGTTTTTCCAGGTAACTTTCGTCTGTTTCAGTCCAAGCCATAAAAAGTTCAAGCCGTATCCAGTTCCTCTTTCCAAAATAAAATCTCCCCTCGGGAGTTAAAAACACTTTTAGAGGCTTGACGCCTCGATTTGGAACCACCGGCAGGCGTGCCGGGTTCCTGGCTGTGAAATCTTCCCTAATTAGCTCATAGGATCAGACTTTGAGCCAAAGATGAGGTTTCTCCGGAGAGAATCCCAGCTGTCTTCCTAGGTTGAAATCAGGAAGAAGAGTGTGTYGCTCAAAGCCGTCCGGGTTAGTAAAAGAAATGGACTAACTTTGGTTCGCCTTCAGGCTTAGAGATGAGTCAGAGAAAGTAAGATAAAGATTTGCCAGCCAGCGTCAGCCCAAGGTTAAAATTCTGTGGTTGTTCAACAACATGATATGATAACCTCTTTTCAGCTTTCTTCTGATAGACTCTAAGAGAAATCACTGCAAAACATTTATGATGATTAAGTAACATTTCTGTTTTATAATCAGCTTTGAACCATTCTGTCAGTCCAAATAAATGAAAGATTTTCTCAAAAATCCACAATTATATTACTGTGTTCACAGTAAAATAAAAACAGTGATTTACATAAAAACACAATGAAAACTTTGTAATCAGATTCCCTGTGATTTTTTATACCATTATAAATCTCTAAGGCATGATAAGAGAAAATAAGTGGTTCCACTTTTCCTGTGACAGGCATTATCATGATTTAACAAATGCATAAACATTCTTAGTTAATAAAACAAATGAATCACGAACAGAAGAGATGGTTCTGTCCATTTTCTGATTAAGAGAACTGAGGGGTTCTCTTCCACGGTTAGAATGACATGTCATGGCCTAAATAGAGTTCAGTTTGTGACAGAGTACCTGTCCTCTCATCAGGCCTGTCCGAGGCCTGCTTCGAGGCAGTAAATATTGTTTCTTCACTCAAGGTGACCCTTACATAACAGAATAAAAGTAAACATTACAAAAAAAAATACCTGGTACAATTACAGATCCTTGAAAACTTTACTTAACAATGTAAATGTACTTTGGTACTGTACACCACTGAACATCAGTAAAAATGCAGTTTTTGTGTTTTTCAGGTCAGTTGGCTTTGGCGACCATTTTGAATTAGGTTCCCAAAGTTAGTCAGTTGTTACGGAGCCCACGCTAGACCATGGGGGACTTTTTTTCTTTTGCATTCCCACACAATACTATTGCGTTACCTCACAATACTTTTGTGTTACCTCACAATAGCTTTGCTTTACCTCGCAATACTTTTGCATTACCTCGCAAATGTTTGTTTTGTACTTGAACTGAATTAAACCCAGACTTTTATTTTGAAATATCCGGTTACCAAAACAGGATGTGTCGCCACAAGTTCGTGAAATGAACATTGATGTTGCGTGGCTGTGTGCTAAAATATCAGCATATGACAAACTTCCATGCATTGCTGTGTGATATATTCATTCTGAAGCTGAATTAAAACAGTAGGCTAACTCGCTAATGAGCATGTGAATTTGTTAATAAACCGACAAGCACAACAGTGATAAACAACTTTTGCGAGGGAATGCAAAAGAAATAAATATCTCCCATGTCCCCTCGCGGGCTCTGTAAGTTGTAAATATGCACTAAGTGATATAAAATTCAACATCACTACTGTCAACCTTAGCCTTTTGGTGTTAGGTGATAATAATTTGGTATTTATTTGGTATTGGACTCATTTTTGTTAAGTTTTTATTTTTAGTAAAGTCTGCTGATCTTCACAGACTGATATTTTGTTTTTTGTAATTTTATTATAGGTATCTTACAGGCTGTTTGAAGACACAGGCCTGTTTGAGACCTTCAAGATCCCTGTTAAAGAATTCATGAATTACTTCCATGCCCTTGAGAATGGCTACAGAGACATACCATGTGAGTAATATTGTGCTTTTTGTTGTTGTTGTTGTTTATCAGTGTACTGCTCTCTGTGGGAATAAAAGCAGCCACTAGGTAGAAACATGCACACCTTCCAGTTTTAATCACCTAAAAAAACACTGGCTTTGATTTAGTGAAAGGATCATATGCAGCTCAACAGCGCATCCTGGTGGAGATGTTTCTGCCCTGAGAGATCTCTTTTTCTCTTCTGACCCAGATCACAACAGGGTCCATGCCACAGATGTGTTTCATGCAGTCTGGTACCTCACCACACAACCCGTGCCTGGTTTGCCCAGCCTCATTACAGATCATGGTTCTGCTAGTGACTCAGGTATAGTCCCCATCCACCAGTGCTTAGTAATTCTTTTAAAGATGTCATTGTGAATTTAAGCTGCTGCATAAAGAGAAAATTCAAGTTTTTTAAAGTAATTTATAGCATTAAAGACTTACTATAAGTAGTGTTTTGCTGATTTTTAAATCTGTCCTCAGCCTCACTGTGAGCCATCTCATCATCTAACCTGCAGGAATGACTGTTATTTCCCTAACACCAGTTTTTCTTATCTTCTCTATGCTTTTGGGCACTTACATTTTCGTACAAACCACTTTTTTGAAGTCTAGAACAGCATGAAATTGCTGGCAAATTAGAGTTCCCCTCTCCCATATTCCCTTAACCTTATTTGTATGCCTTACCGGGCTCATCCCTTTGATCCACTTATAAGTGGATTTAAACATTCAAGCATGTTTGTGCTCTTGAGTGCAGCACTAGTCCATAAAAGTCCAGTGTGTGTGAGAGAGAGGTGTGTAGTTCCTGCCACCCTGCTTCTAAACCTCCCATCTTTCTCTTCTCCCCCTGCGGTCAGACTCTGACAGTGGAATAACGCACAGTCACATGGGCTTCCTGGTTTCAAAGACCTACACTGTGTCAGAAGATGGATACGGCTGCCTGTCGGGCCTCATACCTGCTCTAGAGCTCATGGCACTTTACGTGGCTGCGGCAATGCATGACTACGATCATCCAGGAAGGACGAACGCATTCCTTGTGGCCACCAGTGCCCCTCAGGTACTTCAGTTGTGCAACAAAAGAGATGACCGTCTCTGATTCAAATTAAATTGAGGAGTTTATCCCATTGGTTCATCGTTGCACCAGGGTTTCTGTGTAAATAGATTAAACATCTAGATACTTATTTTGAAACCAGCTGTGCAGGTAGAGCTGATAAATTTCCCACCACTGGACACCTCCATCTCATTATCCTTAAACTTTAAAGCTTGATTTGAGACTGTTTTATGTCTTCCTCTTTGTTTTTGTGACAAATTTAGTGGAATTAAAGTGTAGCACACCCTTACAACTGTAACTAAATGATTTGTGAATTCATTTAAAGGCGCGTGCTCAGGCAGTTTACTTGGGTTTCTCTGCAGGCAGTGCTCTACAACGATCGCTCAGTTCTGGAAAATCACCACGCTGCCTCGGCCTGGAACCTCTTCATGTCCCACCCAGACTACAACTTCCTCGTCAACCTGGACCACGTGGAGTTCAAACGTTTCCGTTTCCTGGTTATTGAGGCCATACTGGCCACTGACCTAAAGAAGCACTTTGACTTCCTGGCTGAGTTCAACGCCAAGGTATTCTGACAATGAAACTGATAAACATTTTACTTTGGAAAGAGAAGAGCTGTGATGTTTACGTTTTGGAAATCTGTACAGTCTGGAAAAAAAATGGTCCGAGTGTGTCTTCAGTATACTTACAGAAATGTATTTACAGTACTCCAGTTTGCTTTGTTATTATAAAAAGTGCACAAATGCTGAGCTATTATTCAGTCTTCAAGACATGTGTTGGTTGCAGAAGTTCTTTCATCATACCTGAGCCTTTGAAACACTTAAGGAAAGCTTTGCCGAAATAAATTGTCCTGGGGTTTTCTAGGAACAGTTCTGTTTGTACGGACAAGAGAAAAATGTTCAGACTGAGTCCAAAACACAAAGAACCCTGCTGTATTCCAAGATGTAAATTAAGTGCAGACCAAATGTTGGCCTTAAGTGGAGGAGTTTTGAGATGTTTTCCGTCTTGAGTGTGAGTTGTGAGGTAGAGCGATTTCTGTGCTCTGAGCCCACTGACGCTGGCAGCAGAAAGTAACAGCAATGCTTCTCACACTTCTTCCTGGAAGCAAATTATCTTTCTGTGAAGAGCCATTAGGCTTTCAACTCTGACACTTCCTGTGCATTTCCTATCTGAATCTCATTAAGCATGCCTAGAAATGAGGATTTAATTTGAACTCTTTCATTAGCACAGATACACAACTTTTGAGCAGAAAATCCATGCCACTGAATCTATTTCTGATATTTAGACATTTTTACATTGTGTCCACTCATGTTCCTACAGGTGGGCGATGGTCCATCAACAGGGATTGACTGGTCTAATGAGAATGACAGGTTGCTGGTGTGCCAGATGTGCATAAAACTGGCTGACATCAATGGGCCTCTGAAACACAAGGATCTCCATCTGCAGTGGACAGAGGGTATTGTCAATGAGTTCTACGAACAGGTGCGGAAACTGTTTCTGATGGCAACAAGAGTCTCATTTGTACTTGTTTACCAGAGAATCAGTCAGTGTTCTGTGATGTGTGCATGGCTAAAGGCTGAAAGTATAAAGGCCTATTTTGCAGTTTTAAACAAACTAGTATATACACAGCAAATAATAGTATTTTTATTTGATAGTTATTTTATAATTATGTATGAAATAAATCTTAGATAAATATTTAGAAAATTGACAGAATGCTTTTTGATTCGAATTATTGTTTCCCCAGTCTATTAGAAATATCAGTACATCTCAAACATAAAACAGAATGAATCGTTTTTTTTCCCTCTAAATGCCAGTCTCGTGTATTTTTAAATGATTTAAATCCATGTTTTGTAAATCATTTTTTGATTTTTTTTCACCTCTAGCAGTTTGACATTAATGCCTCATGCTGTGTGTAGGGTGATGAGGAGTCCAGCCTGGGGCTTCCTGTCAGCCCCTTTATGGATCGAGCGGCACCGCAGCTGGCCAAACTTCAGGAATCATTCATTACACACATCGTTGGACCGCTCTGTAACTCCTACGACTCGGCCTGCCTCATGCCTGGACGGTGGGTAGAGCCCGAGCCAGAGGAAGAAGAGCCCGACACTGGGGAGATTGAGGAGGCAGGTGATGATGATGATGACGATGATGCGTCCACCTGCTCTGAAGCATCACGTAAGCATCATAGTCTAACAGGAAACTGCAGCAGAGGCATAAACTGGAAATGAGCAGAGAAGGAAGTTGTCAGGGTTTCATTTCACTGGGCAGTCCTCTAAAATGGTTTCTGAATTTATATAATTTAACATACAGACAATATACTGTATATAAATAAAATATTTAAAGGAAACTAAGGAGGAAAAACTATCTTATTCAGTTTTGTTTAAAAACGATTGTAAATCAAGGAGACAACTTTTATGTACTGCAATATTTCTGCCTGACTGTGTCATTTTGTCTTTTTACTATTTTTATCTGGAATTCAGTACTACTACTACTACTACTACTGCTACTACTACTACTACTACTACTACTACTACTACTACTACTACTACTACTACTACTGTTATTATTATTATTATTATTACTACTATTATTATTATTATTATTATTATTATTATTATTATTATTATCATTATTATTATTACTATTATTTTAATGATTAAATGGCCTTTGTTTTTTTAGTAATTTGTAGGTGTTGCACATTAAAATCACATTCAGAAAAACTAAATTTAAAACTAAAAATCTTTGAAGGAAATGCACATTGTCTTCCTCCTTGTATGACAAAGTTTTAAAACTAGAGTTTGTTTAAGTATGTTGTTTGTTAGAGGATGTGTTGTGGATGACTCTCAGCTACTACCACACAAAATTTTAGCCTAACTTTTGTGTCTGCTAAAATTGTTTAGCTGTGACGGCCATCTTGAATGGTGCTACCCCAGAAGTTAATCGGGTGTAAACCCATTAATTATTTTATGAGAGTTTCCCTAAAATCCATTCAGCCCTTTAGTTATTTTGCTGACTGACAAACAAACATAGACTCTGGCAATTACATGATTGCTCATCTTTAATGGTAGCAGGTGATAACGATATCTTTAACAGGAATCTGAAATAAAAGGTACTGTGTTATTGTTGTTGTTGTTATGTTTTTTACACCATTTAGCTGAATGAGAAAACAGGATTTATTCATTTAGACTTTTTTTCAGTAATTTTATAAAAAACTAAATGGATTAATTATTTTTCAAAAAGCCAATTGCAGTAGTTAAAAAAAAAACTTTTGGAGCACTTAAAACATTTTAAATCCAGGTTTTAATGTCCTTTCAGAGAAAGCAGCACCCAAGAAAAGGAGAAAAGTGTTTTGTCAGATCACCCAGCACCTGCTGGAGAACCATGAGATGTGGAAGAAGGTGATAGAAGAGGAGTCTCAGAGTACGGACCAAGGAGCAGAGTCTGTCCATTTAAACAATGTAGCAGAACCGATTCTGGCTATCGACGAGGAAGAGGAGGAACTGGGCAGCAGAGAAGAGCAGGTAGAAGGAGAGCAGCCTGAGGAGGAGATCGAGGAACCAGGCTGGTCGCAAAGGGACAACTGTAAACTTCCAGTGGAGCTGGAGGACAGGGACCCACAATGAACGTTCTCGCTCCCAAGAAGAGACATGGCATCAGTCAGGAAAAAGATGTAAAGAAGTATTTGGTTTGTTCTTTTTTTTTTTTTTTCAACTAAATCCTCTTTCTGCCAGCACATTACTTAGACACAACACTGTAGATGTTTGGGGTTTGGGAAAAGGCTGCGGTAGCTCCATGTTCAGTTTGGCAGTCTTGTAATCCCAGGTTGCATCAGGTAGGGCACTTGGCATGAAACAATTGCCAAAACTTTTGTCCAAAGTTTGCTTCCTGAAGAACGGAGCAGCTGAAAAGAAAGCAACAACTGTAGACGTTTGGGGGAACTGCGTGCCTACACCGAAGATTAAAAACAGGGTGGGAAATTTTGTGCTTTACATATGTAATCTGGTTATGCTGTTTCACTAAACACTTTACCAGGCCTTTTCATATTGCAATAAAGGGTTTATGGACTGATTTGCTACTGTCAGAAGTAGAAGAAATGCAGTTGCACACCTTTCAACCCGATGTTTAAACACAAGACTGTAGAAATCTGCTGCCAGTTTATACATACTTGTTTCCTGAATGCGATTATATATAAAATATCACCATTGCTTGTGCTTGTGTTCAAATTTTAGCCTTTTTCAGGTCTAAACTGTGCTACAATATGTTTTTTACAGGTGTGTTAGAAAGGGAGTGAATCTAATGAGGAACGATCTTTAATCCATCTTATTAAAAAAATGTTCCTTTTTTGTAAGCTTTAGCATACAAATCTATTTTTACGCACATTTTATTTGTCATTTTCTTCTCAAATGAAGTAATTAAATCCCGTTAGTCCCACTAAGTGGAGTCATTTTAGTGGCATGCACAGCCCAGAGGCTTCTCTCAGTTTTACAGTCTGAATGTTTGTGCATTTGTTTTGGTTTCAACTACATGTGCTCACATACACATCTTCTTCAGGACACAAACTCAATAAATAATCATATATTTACATGTTAGATGGCACTATAAACCAATATTCCAGTACAGAGCCAAAAATTAAAAACCACTGAATAAAAAAAAAGAAATAAATACCTGATTTTACCCAAAGGCTATTTTCTGATTAATAGAAAAACATTTGGGTTCAGCAATGTATGACTCAGAGATATTAAATGTATCTGAGAAGTAAGATTTCTGTCATTAATTTTTTAACAAGAACTCATAATGTGACTATTGTGTCCAGGGCTGTCTGATTTCCAAAGATAAAAAAGAAAAACGATATTAAAGACAAAACTATTTAACTTGGTATGTGAATTTATGCAAATTGGCAGTGAGATTTAGAAAATTGCATAGCTTAAAATTTTGCCTAGGGCACCAAATTTGCTAGGGCCGGCACTGATTGTAAAAAGACCTCCACCTTTAAACAAAATGAGGGGTAGTTTATCCATGTCAAAAATGTACTGACCTGCTTGTTTATGAGTCAAGGCTGACGGTTGATGGATTCAGGATTGTTTGAGATGAAACAGCTGATAAAAGTAAAATCATACAAACTGATTGAATAATACATTTAACCTTATGATAAGCTATGAAAAAAATGTTAGCTCTCTTTTTCATAGCAAGCAGTGATCCAGAAACTCTGTCCCAGTTGCATTTCCGTCTATAATATTCCTATACACGGGTATCTATTTCTGCAAAAACCTGGTATAATTTACTTTAATGAATCTTCAGAAAGAAGGAAGGAAGTTTTTTGTTTTTTTTTATCAATATGCATGCAGCATACACAATGAAATCATGTTTGGTGTTACAAAGAATATTGTTGCATAAGTTTGTGTAGGCAGAAGATATGACAGAGCTAGAGGAACACAGTGTGTTCTGTTATTCTTGCAGGCTGTACATTAACAACAGCCGTGGGTGGTTTTCAGCCTCTTTGCAGCAGCCCTGACAAGGAAGGGGCCACTCACAAGCTGGATATATGCCTGACCCACTGATTAGTCTGAAATTACACACGTTTACCATAAACCTTCTGTTAAATCGGAATATTTTTGAATTCACTGAAACATTTAGCATTTGCGTCACCCTTTGTGTCTTACTGGGAACAAGCATTTTTTATCTGTTACATCTAAGTGATCTGTAACCATCATTACATTCCCGATTGACAATAAAAGCTTAAATTATTAGAAAAGAATTCAGTGCAACACCAACATTTAAAAAAGGTTTAGTTTTTAAAGGTGGATTCTGTGGAAAAGATGTTGACAAATACTATCTTACCTGTTGTAGATCATTTTTTGACCCCACTCTTTTGAATAGTTTTTACTAACCTGTTTGATGATCGAACAGTCTGAGAGAGGCTAAAACCGAATTGGATTATTGACTTCTTAAAACAACTCTAATCTTGGAATTACCCTATTTATGTGCGTATGTCGCAAAAAATGTAACACCAAAGAACATTCATGAAGTTGGGGAATCATATTATGCACAGGAGTATTTTTTTTACGCCAGAGTCAGAGAAGGAAAAACTGTTTTTGTTTTTCCTGTTAACCACAGCGCAGTGATGGAAAGAAAACACGGACAATCGTGTGCTCAATAGGACCAGACGAGCAGCTCTTCGAAGGTGCACATCTTACTAATTTAACAATCAGGTTCTGCTGTCGGACCGTATCGTTTTCAGGGACATGAAGCCCGCACTGCTCCTCTGCAGCCTTTGCTCTGCAGCTACAAACACACCCACAGCTGTGCGTCCCCAAAATAACCTGTTTCCTTGTCAGAGGGTACACAGCAAAGGCTGAAAAATCCTGAAGTCTGTATGAAATTAGGGGTAACATTATACACAAAGATTAGATTCTTTAAGCTTTTTAAGCTCAGAAAATGGGGATCACATTATGCTTAAAGCACATTATGCATGAATAAATATGGTAAATGGTATTTCACACAATAATCCTATTTTACAGATTATTCCATTGTCATCAGTTTGATTTCAGCTACAGCTAAAGCTTACCTTGTGCAACCTAGGGAACTTTTAGCCACAATATTATATGTATGTAATGTCTAACACAAGATTAGCCATGTAATGCAAAACTGACAACAATGAAACTGTTTAAAAATTAGTGTTTGCATGAACTTTTTTTTTGGAACTAAACTGTTTAGATTGGAGTTTTCCCTCTTTTTTTTACTTGCTCAGACTAATTGTTTGTATATCAGTTCAGTCAAAATAAACTACATTTCTCCAAGCTGAGGTTATAAAAAAAGTTATCTATCACAGGTAAGATGTTAATTGCTCATAATGTTTCCACAGAACTCCTCCAACATCGGTTAAACTTCCAGGCTGCACACATCACAAGTTTATTTTATTTTATTTTGTATGACTTTGAGAAAGACATAATATTTGTTGCTGTTTATGAATATGTTTTTCATCTTTCAGTAGTTCCTTTAATATGACTCATAACAGGGATAGTAAATTAATGAAGGTCGATGAGTTTTTCATCATTCCATTGCACATGCTCAGCTGAATTATCCTCCTGAGGTCCTATAGCTTACTGCTTCTAGTGCTTCCTCTCTGATCTGCATACTTACCAGCCTCCCTGCAAAAAGTAGCCAAACATTTGCTGTGTAACATCTATGGAGGACCAAACCTATCATTATTGGAAATAAATGTATAAATATATAACTGGCGTATTAAAATAAATTATAGGGTCAAAAAGAAGTTTGACAAATAAATTATTGTGCCATTAAATCAATTACATCAATTATTTAGATATAAATGTGTATTTACATTTTAATTTTGAAGGATTATATTTTCTCTATGTGCTTTATCGCATATTTTTTGTTTATATTTATTCATTACAAGTACATTTGTTGTAATTTGACTTTTCCAAGCCATTATTTTCTTCTTTCACATTTATCACCAATCACATATATTTAAAACATGCTTTTTCACCTAATAATATTTTATTTCTCAAATTATTTTATCGTTCTTTTTTTCCTTAAACACTGATATATTTTCTTCTATTATATACCTTTGTTGTATATTTTTACCAAACACATTTCCCTGAGCCCATTTATTTTCATCTCTTTTTTTTACATTTCTTGCTGGCTGTATTGTCTTTTCCAGCTCCACATGCAGCAGGGAATGTAAAAACAGAGGAGGCGGTCTTAAGAAAAGCGTCACCGCCCCAGCTTCTCGCCTATTGGCCGAGGTCTAATTTAAACTAGACCTCGGCCAATAGGCTTTTCTTAAGACCGCCTCCTCTGTTTTTACATTCCCTGCTGCATGTGGAGCTGGAAAAGACAATACAGCCAGCAAGAAATGTAAAAAAAAGAGATGAAAATAAATGGGCTCAGGGAAATGTGTTTGGTAAAAATATACAACAAAGGTATATAATAGAAGAAAATATATCAGTGTTTAAGAAAAAAAAGAACGATAAAATAATTTGAGAAATAAAATATTATTAGGTGAAAAAGCATGTTTTAAATATATGTGATTGGTGATAAATGTGAAAGAAGAAAATAATGGCTTGGAAAAGTCAAATTACAACAAATGTACTTGTAATGAATAAACATAAACAAAAAATATGCGATAAAGCACATAGAGAAAATATAATCCTTCAAAATTAAAATGTAAATACACATTTATATCTAAATAATTGATGTAATTGATTTAATGGCACAATAATTTATTTGTCAAACTTCTTTTTGACCCTATAATTTATTTTAATACGCCAGTTATATATTTATACATTTATTTCCAATAATGATAGGTTTGGTCCTCCATAAACATCACCCATGTATAAAAGTATTGATTTCCTGTCCACAGTGTTGATTTCTTTTTGATCATACTGTTTTTGAGTGAACAATGTATGGATTTTGCCCCACATGCTTCTGTTTTAATAGGCTTTTGCATTTGACATGACACATTATATTCATTTTATAGAGTGTTTATTTTACATCTTCAGTCATTTGATCATCATGCTTTGTTCACATTATGTAAGATAATTGTAACCATGGGAACCAAACAAGCTTTACAACTATGTAAACAAAATGAGATGAGTATTTTTATATAGCTGACATGTGATTAAACTATGAATTGCTTTCCTCTCACTTTCACATGACCACATATGTACTTATATGTCTAAACTCACAGTATTTGTGAAAGTAAATTAAACTCTTGCAGGTTGATGCTCCATTTTGTACAATATATGCTGTACAGAAAAAAAGAAATTTTAAAACTACAAAAACTCTTTTAGATATACATTATTTATTTTTACCATTTTGTAATTTAGACACTATACTGTAGCTTCAATATTGCCGGACTTACTGGAAGTGCCTATATTGGTATTATGTATTATACAGTGAATATATTTGAAGATCATAGACAATGTCACAAACTGAACTATGTGGATGTTGTAATGTGAATACATTGAATTACAAAATTACACTTTCTGTGGTTTCCGTGTGGTGGTGCTTTTTTATTTATTAATTTGTCTTTACCTTTTTACATTTTCAATGAATCTTGCATTAAAATCTGAAAAGGGTTTAACATGCCAAAATCACCTATTATATTAAAGGTAAAACATTTTTTTATCAGATCATTCAGAGGTTTAAGATCAGTTTTATGCAATTTGTCTTTAAAAGTAAGCTTTATTGAAGTACTTTGGTAACAATATTCACTCTAAATTTAAACACACATCAGTGTGCATGGGAGGTAATGTATTTATTAATTATATTTTGACAAGATGCAGCTATTACAAATGTTT